AGTGGAGCAGGAGAGACAGTATTTCTACTCAAGTAATCAGAGTATTTCTGATTTTTGTTACGGTTTGGTCCTGTACTCCCTGGGTTTCCTGTTTTTTCCCTCTGCCTGTCATTATCCCGGCCAGCATAATTAATCACTATCACATTCACCTGCCACTTATTACCGCCCGGTCCAGCTCCCCATAAATATGCGCCATTTCCCGCAATTTCCCCCCATTTCCCTGCTGGTCCGTAATCCATAGTGTTCTTGAGCTCGCTGCAGCACCTCCCTCCACCCCATTTATCTCCCCCCTTCAGTTGCCTGGTCGGTATTGTCTGGACTAATCTGTTGAGCCTGCTGTCTAACCACCTATATCTCTGTAAATAAATAGCTTCTTTATCCCAGACTTTGTGTGGTGCATTGTGAGTCCTCGCTCTTGTGGATTTCAAACCATAACAGTATGGACCAGCCACAGTGAACTCAGCCCACACAAATGCTGGAGACATAAATCACTAGCCAAAAATGAACCTAGTCAACTCCTCCTGAGAGATGGAAGTACTGATTAACTTAGTCAGAGGATTCTCACATAGCATTGAATTGACCAAGAACTCAGAACAGAAGCTGAACATCCTGAGAAGGATAGAATGGAGCTGCCCATTGTCAGCAAGGCTGTATATGGGCCTCAAAGAGCACCGAGATACAGAGAAGGCAGAGGAGAAAGAAGAAGTTCCAGGGGAGGGTGGAGAAGACAAAGGAATTATTATTAAAATGCTGTGGCAGAATGCTTAGAAAAGTTAAGTAAAGATAATCATAAAATGATTTATGTGTGTGTTTGTTGAAATAATCATTAGTACATGTGTAAGAATAAAATGTGAAATGATTGTATTAAAAGTGGGGAAAAGTGATTTACATCTCACAAGGTGAAAAATGTAAGAATCACAGAAAAGAGGAAATGGACACACATGAGCACGCCACTCAGAGAAGAGACACACAGCATACTGAGGAAGTAACAAAAATGATGGTTTCAAGCACAAAAGTAAAGATTTGACTGATAATTGTTTGATCAATGTCTAATCACTGATAATCCATGTTTAGTCAAAGTAAAGTATTCAAAATATAAAGATTTATGTTTTGATTTTAAGGCATTGATAGTTTTGTGTGAAATCAGTGTGTAATTCTGATTGTTTAAAAAGCAATGATGGAATTTTGATATTTCAGTCAGATGTGAGTTTTTTGTATTTTTGTTATGTATTCAAATGGTTTAGTTTTCTAGAAAAGAGGAAGTAAAATTCAAGGCTGGATCACAGTGGGGCAGAGGCCGGTTACGGGCAGTAGGCTTGGACTGAGTAAAAAATATACAATACTTCAGTTCAATATGATTTTGCACGCCAAATAAGGTATTAACTGCAAACTGTGGCATCTGGTTGGATGAGAGGATGGAGGCTACTGACCAGGATCCTTTAAAAACTGAGGCAAAAAGAGGAACGGAGAGTCTTTTCACGGCTGCGGCCGGAGGCTCGGTCCGGTTGACCATCCGACTTCCAGGAGACTGAGGACTGCGGGAGGCAGCCCGGGAAGAGGAGCCCCCCTGGGGGTGCTCCCCTGCAGGCTCGGCCTGTGAGGAGGGATGGATGTCGTCGTGGGAGAAAGAGCACCCTTTTCTGGATGCTTGGACACAGCCGTTTGGCCTGTCAGAGGAGGAGGATGCATGCCGACGAGGGACGATGAAACTGTGGCAGAGCCTCATAGTTCAGTGGGGAAACTAAATTCCTGCTTCAAAGATGACTGATGAAGAAATGAAGAATTTTAACAAAAAGCCAAAACCCACCTGGCCTGGTGGGGAAAGGATGGCTTGAAAAGAAGACAGTTTTAGACACTTTCATGTCTTTATGAAGATTTGGACCAAAAGGAGACTGTTTATAGACATTTTCATGTCTTTTATGTTTTCCTGAGTCACAGAAGATTTGACCAAGAAAAACATTGTTTATCTGAATTTGTCCTATTCCTTTCTTTGAGGGTTTTGGGGATTGAGCTTTGATATTTCTGTTTATAAATTCTTTTCCCCTTGTGAAAGCTTGGCACTGCTTTAGTGACCTCTGCCCCTTCATTACTTCTTTCCTGGGCCTTTTCTAAACTCTCTCCAGGACCCGTTTTTACAGTTCCACTGACACCGGCACTATGGCTTTTTGTCAGCCTGGCTACAATACTAAACAAACACCTGGATTTTTTTTTTTCAGTGATGAATAATATGTGGTTTTCCTTTCCAGGCTAGGAAAACTCTTCTGACTTACTGGAATGCCACCTCCTTTCCAGTTTTCATAATGCCTGCTTGAGGGAGCGGAGCTGTGAGCTGTACCACATGACCTCCTCTGTTTCCCTGCCTTCTTTTTCAGAGGGGCAACCCTCCCAAATTCAAATTCTATTTTATTTGAGTAGCGCCAAATCACAACAAATGTAATCTCAGGACACTTTACAAAATGAGGTCTAGACCTTCTTATTAGCAAATCCCCCTTGAGCAAGCACTTGGTGACAGTGGGAAGCAAAAACTCCCTTTAACTGAAGAAACCTCCAATAGACCCCGGCTCTTGGTGGGCAGTGTTCTGCCTTGACTGGTTGGGGTAAGTGGATAGAGGAGAGAGAAAAGAAAAGAAAAACAACAAGACACAACAAACAATCAAACACTCAGCAAGCTGATGCAGCCGATGACTGCTCATCAGAAACATAGAGCTCCAGATCCAGGGCAACCTGCAGAAAGGTACAGGGAGAGAGAGAGGACACACTATGGGAGAGAGGAGACACACAGTTAGTGATGGGTAGTGGTGGCATATACTGTAGATGCATGGAGAGAGAGGAAAGAAACTCTGAGCATCATGGGGGCCCCCTTGAAGTCTAGGCCTGTAGCAGCATAACTAAGGGCCTTCCCTTAGTTATGCTGCTATAGGTGGCTCAGGGTCACCTGATCAAGCCCTAACTATAAGCTTTATCAAAAATGAAAGTCTCAAGTCTAATTTTAAAGGTCGAGAGGGCAACTGCCTCCTGAACTGAGACTGGGAGCTGGTTCCACAGGAGAGGAGCTTGATAGTGTAACCAGTGGGTTGGCTATGCCTATACCACCAGGTGAGCAATTTGCCGGGTTGATTATGGATATAAATACCACCCCTGGAGAAGCTGTTGGGATAAGCAATTGCTGTGCTGGTCGCCGCTGTGATTGTTTTTGAAGTGAATCGCCCTCCGTTGATCTGCGTCCTGCTTTCCCTTTGAGATTGTTTATGGGATTACCGCATGCTCTGCACAGGTGATAATTGATGTAAGCATGATCCTGCAGAAGTTGCCGTCCATCGCACATGTTGTGCTAGGGTGACATGCAGCCAAGAAGTGATAGCCACTGCTGCTTTGCCTGCTTTGCTTACCCTTGTTTCGAGTGCTTTTATGTTAAGAAGCTTAATTAGCATTATATTTCCTATTGTATTGTACCCAAGTTTTATGGTGTATGAGCCGCATGTAAATGGTTTGAGGTGCAGGGAGGCAAGACCCTCTTATTTGGATTGATTGTTGTTGTTGTTTATTTATGGGTCTTTTCTAACTTGTAGACCTCTGACCACTTTTTATTCCTGTTCTGTACTGTATTTATTGAGTGGAGAGTAACTTCTGCTTAAGCATAGTATTTTAGCTTCTGGGGTTAGGCCTTTTTAAACATTGTTTCACTGTTAACGTATTTAGTGACACAAATAAATCCTTATTTTTGTGGACAAAACCAACATCTCTGTGTGTTTGTGGACTTATCTGGGTGTGGTAACCCAGTGCTTGTGGGTATGGAAGAATTTGACCTCTTGAAACAGGAGAGACAATATTGTTTGAGAGCTACTAAGGTTCCTCACAGCAGTACTGGAGGCCAGAGCTGTGTCATCTAGAGTAATTATATGGTTAGACAGCAGATTTCTAAGGTTTCTAAGTATAATAACTTCAGTTTTGTCAGAGTTTAGAAGTAAAAAATTACAGGTCATCCAGGCCTTTAACCAACTGATCTGATTCATCTGGGTTCATAGATAAATATAACTATCATCTACATAGCATTGAAAACAAGATTATCAAATTGTGTGGGAGTAAAGTTAAGGTGGCCTCCATTGTGTTGGCACATGGCACTGAAGTAAATAGTGATGGAATTATTTCCTTAAATTTGGTAACATAATTGTCAGACAGACATCTACTGTACTGGAATTGTTTCCCACATTGTGTATAATCCATTAATGTAAATTCAAAAGTTATTAGGAAATGGCCAGACAGAAGAGGATTTTGGGGAAAAACTATTAAGTGTTCAGTTTCGATGGCAAATATCAGAACAAGATCAAGTATGTAATTAAAACAGTGAGTGGGTTTACTTGCAGTTTTACAAAAGCCAATTGAGTCTAATAATGAACTGAATGCACTGTTGAGGCTGTCACTGTCAGCATCTACATGAATATTAAACCCACTATGATTATTTTATCTGTACTAACCTCTAAATCAGACAAAGTCTGAGAATTCAGTTAAAAACTCAGTGTTCCAGTTTGGTTGTGAGAGACTCAGAGTGAGGCATTTTGTCTCTAGAACACAAGCGGTAGTTCAGAAAACAATACGACTTGGAAAACATACATACAATACTGTAATCCAATTGGAAGAGAAACGGTTATCAGATATATGGGGAATGATCAGGAAAATGAATGGTATATGAACAGTTATGATATTCCAGAGTTACATATACAGTAGGTGGCGGTTATGCACTTGAAAGTTGGTTTTTCACCCGCCTTTTAAACAAATAAGATAATATGTTAAAAGAAGAAGAAGTAGAAGAAGTAGAAGCAGAAGTAGTAGAAGAAGAAGAAGCAGAAGTAGTAGTAGAAGAAGAAGAAGCAGAAGTAGTAGTAGAAGAAGAAGAAGAAGAAGAAGAAGAAGAAGAAGAAGAGTAGTAGGTAGAAGAAGAAGAAGAAGAAGAAGTAGTAGTAGAAGAAGAAGAAGCAGAAGTAGTAGTAGTAGAAGAAGAAGAAGCAGAAGTAGTAGTAGAAGAAGCAGAGGCAGAGGCAGCAAGTAAATAACTTCACTCGCATGTTTTTATTACTGAAAGTTGTTGTCAGCGGTCTAGCTGTAAAATGTCCGCTGTAAATGATCAGTATACTTCTCATCGACCTGAATTTGAAGAGCTGCCATCAGACGATCACAGATGGCTTAACGTTAGGGTTACTCCTCAACCTGTCCACAGTGCCAGGCAGACCGTGCTAAACCACCAGCGACACCGGGTAAGTAAAAGTAATGTGACATTAACAAGGTAGCAGCCGGCGTTTATTAGCTTTAGTCACGGGACGCTCATGGACCAAGGGTTAGCAGCGGTTCCACTGTGTCGGGGCTTTTCAGTTTCATTTAACGTTATGGCGACCTCGGCTTTAACGGTTATATACACTGGGTTTCCCAGTCTATTTTGTAACGTACTGCACCGTGACAAGCCCAGGGATACCAGCGCGTGAGCCAAACTTCAAACCAGGCACGCGATAAGACAGCAATATGTCTTATGAATATGAATAATTAACAGAAGCAAATCTTCAGTTGGGACATGACCCCGAGAGATGAGTAGCCGTGTGGTTTATATCAATAGAACCAGTAGTTCGGAGCTACGTAACGAACAGTATGATACAGTAACTTGTACACACCGACGGGGAGCATCTGGAGCAGTAGCTTGGTGTGTATTTAGCATATGTTTGTTTTGTGTCAAGTAGCACAGCAACTTCAAATTGGACGCTTTTTAGTGCTAGCTCGGTGACTCGGCCATCTTCACAAGAGACAACACCTCGTGAGACGACTAATATGTCTTAATGTTAAGTTTGGTAATAATTAGTCAGTTTTAACAAAGTACTAAGGTGCTTTTTTCCCCAAATGATCGAACTGTTTATCCACAAAGGAATAACTAGTCAACACACCTACAGGAGCAGGGCTTAACCCATTTGGAGGCCAATAGAAATGTTTGCATTGTAATCACAATGGGTATTCACACAGACACAATACTGCATGGAAGTATTGGTAAATGTCTTCCTATTGTTTTACAACTAAACTATAAAAGACAACTGACTTGCAATAGCTTTACACTGTACCTAAAGACAGAAACTTATTACACCTTCAGACTAACAAGTAAAACCAAATTTCTAAACACTCAGTCATTGTTTGATATGTTTATGAAGTTTAAATCACTGACTATTGTTCTGGCTAATTAATGATGGTAATGCCTTTCTGGGGTGAAGGGCCTAAGTTTTAGTTTATGACTTGACCTTTCTTCATTGTTTGTCATTTCCAAATCTGGTTGAAGCCCATGTGTGGTACTTGTGGCAATTTCTTTAAGGAATGAACAGAGTCATAGCAGCTGTAGTGTGTACCATTGCAGACATGATGGGGTTTCTCATTTCTGTCTGCATCATACTTGTCAATGCCATTCATATTTCACGGAGGTTAAATAAGTTAATTAGAACAATTGTGGGTTAGATAAGGCTCATTATAATGGATGGTTCTTGATAACTGGCCCACCAAAATCTGAACTGTAGTGATGTCACTTTTGGTCATTGTACATAGTGAGGAACAGGTACACTTCTTTGTAACAGGGCATTCTGGGAACTGTGTAGAGAGAGAATGCCCTGATGCTGAAGTCACCGTAATTACTGTTGTTTAACTAAGGCTGGGTGATGAATCAGATTTCATTTTCAATTACGATTCTAATGATAATGAAAACTAAATAAAGTGCCCATGGCATTTCCAGCCATTTAATGTTTAAAGAGCCCATGGCACTTTTCCTTGTTTTCTGTCTACAATGTTACAACGGTGAATTATCATCTTAGATGTGACCTAAAGCTCAAAAAATAAGGTGTATGTATGTGCTAGTATTTCTATGCAGAAGTAACTTGGTTTATACACGTCTTGCAAACTCTTTTTTTTTTTTTTTTTTTCCCTAACAACATAAAGTATGGGCATAAAATCCAGGCAGTTGCACATTCATGTGAGCTTGCCTGACATCCACCACATTGGTAAAATGTTATAGTGCCTTGTTATTATGTATACTTTCAGTAAAGCTTTTTTTTTTTAAAAAGACATCCACCCATGCCATGGTGAAAGTGGAATTTTTCGACTACACGTGGTTTTGTGGATATATTTTCCATCCTGCTGCTGCACTGTGACCAGAGCATGTGGAGAAATATATAGGGCCTGAGGTTACTGCATGTCTGGGAATGTTCCTGTACAGGGACTCGCTGTTTTACCTGACTAGGTCTAATGTGGCGTGAATGAATCCTACAATCAGCTGGCCAGTGAAGCACCCTGAACAACACTGGATTACCCCAGAGTACAGTACCTTTTTGTTTTAACAACCTAAGGCCAGTGTCTATGCTACATGTGATGTGTTGCGGGTTAGCAAGAAAATTGTAACAATCTATGATGTTGAAGCTGAGAAATTTGACCAGTTTTGTGTGTTTACATTAGACAGCATTCAAAAATCCTGTTCTGAACTACCATATAGTGTTAATAGTTGTTGGACTGCACTTGTTTTGGTGTTTATATTTTGCTGTTGATTTTTTTTAATTAGTGATGTCTGTGTTGCTGCAGCCACAGTGTCTATAGAGCTTGGCAACGGACATCACTGTGCAGTGCATTGTGGGGAGGAACCACCATATTGTGATGCCACAGGCAACCACAACATCAACAACAACAACTAGGATACTGCTATGCTGCTTTCATTAAATTTGTTTAAAGTAGTTTACATATGCTCAAACGTAGTTTAAAAGAAAATGGTTTGTACAGACACAAGCTTCTACCAGGTGAAAGGAAATACTACATGTAAAAGGTGTTTATTTGTCATATGCACAGTTAGGAAACATGTTTCCCGGTACAATGAAATTCTTACTTTGCCGTCCACATGAATGCCACAAAATACAAATGAAATATAAAGTAGATAAATAAGTAACACAAAATCGAGAAAGTTTTTCAGTCTGGAGGTCCTGCATTTCACACTTCTGAACCTCCAGCTTTCCTATGCACCCTGCGGTGGTAAATGCTCTGCAGAGAGGGAGGTGGAGTCCTGGTGATCTTCTCCACAGTCTTTACCACTCTCTGCAGGCGCTTGCAGTCCATAGCAGTAGTGCTGCCATACCAGACAGTGATGCAGCTGGTCAAGATGCTCTCAATGATGCAGCTGTAGAAGTTGCAAAGGATCCTAGGAGCCATGCCAAACCTCCTCAGGAAGTACAGCTGTTGTTGGGCCTTCTTGACCAGCTGTGTGGTGTTAAGTGTCCAGGTGAGGTCCTCACCGATGTGGATGCCCTGGTATTTCAAGCTGCTCACCCTCTCCACTTTGAGCCCCCGGATGAACAGTGGCCGATGACGTCTCCTCTCCTCCCTCATGTCCAGAGACATGCACCCATGTAGGTGCTCTGTTATTCAAAGTGAAGGCTACTGTTTGGATTTGTGGCACGAAGACTGTCACCGTTGAGCCAGCATACTGGGTTTTGTTGAGCAAGATTACTGTTGAAGTTGGATACAGGATCAGCTACATAGAAGCAAGTGCTTGACCAGCGCATTATTGTACCCACCACCATGTCAGGCATAAGGCATCATGCCAATAAAAGCAAAACTTCACTCGTTAAACTTGAAGAGCTATCACCACTACTTGAAATGCTGCTGAAGCATAGCAAGGCTGTTGGTTTGTCAGGAATGGAAGACTATTAAACACTATACACAGAAACAGTGCAGCTCCCACCAGTACCTGAGTCTCTTGCAGCATCTTTGCGTGATGAAAGCATAGATTCACATGGCCTGTCAGCCATCCTGCTGCACTGTGAGAAATATAGTCATGTTGCCAAGGTGACTGATGCACAGGTGGCAGCTACTGAGAAGTCTTCTGCTTGGTATGCAGGTTGGACTGGAAGAATTACTGCCTCAGACATGCATGCAATATTTGCCACCAGTTTGGAAAGGCCAGCCCTGACAGTGGTGAAACAGGTGTGCAACACACAGCAGACAGTGTCTACCAAACATACCAGGTGGAGTGTGGAGCACGAGACGGATGCTCGAAAAGCCTACCTTCAGTGTGGTTTCATCGTTAATACCAGCTGACCTGAATTCAGTTTCTCCTGATGGACTTACAATGTGTGATTGTTGTGGAGGCTGCCTTGAAATAAAGTGTCCTTTCAAGTATAGCTCATGCAGCATCTAGTAGGCCTTAGAAATAAAGCTTACAGTGGGGAAAAGAATTATTCGATCCCCTGCTGATTTTGTCGGTTTGCCCACATACAAAGAAATGAAGGGTCTATAATTTTTATCATAGGTTTATTCTAAGGGATAGAGACAGAATATCAATAAAAAAATCCTGAAAAGGCACATGATACAAATGTTATAAATTGAGTTGCCTTTCAGTGAGTAAAATAAGTATTTGATCTCCTACCAACCAACAATAATTCTGGCTCCCACAGACTGGGTATGTATTCATGTGGTGCACAGATTAGTCCTGTCAATTTAAGAAGGGTGGGCAGCACGGTGGCGCAGTGGTTAGCGCCATTGCCTCACAGCGAGAAGGTTCTGGGTTCGGGCCCCACCTGGGACCTTTCTGTGTGGAGTTTCCATGTTCTCCCCATGCCTGCGTGGGTTCTCTCCGGGTACTCCGGCTTCCTCCCACAGTCCAAAGACATGCAGCTTAGGTCGATTGCCCATAGGAGTGCGTGTGTGTGGTTGTTCGTCTATGTGTTAGCCCTGCGATGGATTGGCGACCTGTCCAGGGTGTACCCTGCCTTCGCCCGATTGCTGGCCGGGATTGGCTGCAATGACAGTGCAATGACAGTATTGTAAAGACTTTTCTATAGTGAGAGCAGTTTTGTGCATAACCTGTTTATTTTGCAGTCACACCCAGTTCAACCTTTGAAAAAAGTCAGTTGCACCTTAAATAAATTTGATTGCAAAATGCAACTGATCACTTTGCAGTCTGGAGCTCTGCCATTTCCCTCATCAGTGTTGGTAAATATGCAGATAAACTGAAAAGTTGCAGTGCAGTAATGTTTTGCATATTCCATGGTAATTTCCGGTAAATATCCCCCTGGATCCTCACTGTTACTGTGTTCATATGTTTGAGCTGTTTTGACTTTTATCTTCACAGACCAATGGCAGCCAAACCCAGCTTCGAGCTCCAAGTGATCCTAGCACCACACAGCTCTATGAGGATGGCTCAGCCACAACAGAACCTCAGCTGGATGACTGTGACCGCATGGGGACTTTGTTTGGAATGCTCAACAAGTGTCTGCGAGGAATGGGCTTCAGCCAGATGTACCTTGGGGACAAGATAGTGGAGCCAGTGGTTGTCGTCTTCTTCTGGCTGCTGCTCTGGTTCCTGGGTATTCAAGCTCTGGGACTGGTGGGAACTTTGTGCATTGTCATCATCTACATCCAAAAGTAATGAGAGCCGATGATTAATGAAGCCTGGTGTTTTCTTTGCTTAATACTCTCTGTAGAAATGTGGGACTAATTTCATTCTAAAGCATGTTTGAATCAAAATATACAGTGGATTTGTGCTTTCGAGGGGCATGTGTGGAGAGTGCTATATTGCTCTGTAGTTACAGTGGCTGATGGATGCTTAGTATTAGGGGTGTGACAAGATGCCACAATATTAAAAAATGCAAGGCAAAAGCTCTCTCGTGATATCAGTACATAACAGAACCACGCCAGGATGATGGAGTGTGACGATATGTGACAGTACGTTTACATTAGTCTGGAAAAAATGCAAGTCCCTGCTGTGTTGGTCCTGGGGTGAGGTGTTGAAAGGGGAGTCTTGTAGGCGTGCATGGCCATGTTGTGACGAGTCGACACGTGTCTGGCATTCACATTTCCAGCCTGTGAGTTTCCGTTGTGTTTTGGTTAGCCATGCTGCTAATGAGGTCTACTCTACCTTAGCACCAGTTCTGTCACCGGTGTGTCAGCACTGATTAAAAAAGACTAACATCTGCTTCTAATGGAAACACATGGCATGTTGTTTATGGTGCAGTAATTGTGGCCCAGATTTGACAGTGAACAGCAGTGAATGCTCATGTTAACAAGGTAAACAAGAGTCTCATTTCAAAATGCCCTGTACTGTTTTGCATTCTGTGACTTTGAGTCAAATAATAGAGTGGTTTTCCAGTCATACATTTCATTATTGAAGATTTCTTCTAAATATATCGATAAAATCTCTTCTCGTTCTCATGAAACCAATATTGTGCATCATCTCGTGAGCTAAGTGTACCGTCACACCCCTACTTAGCATTTAGTTCCTGGAAAATGGTCTGAGGTTTGTTGAGTCAGGATTGTCTGGTCAGCAGCTTCTCCTGCCTCAGCAAAGAGAGTGGAGCTGTTCTGCTGCCTCTGCTGGTATCTTGACATTATGGTATAGATCAGCTAATTTAAAGGAACAGAAGACCCTCTCGAAATGGTTGGTTTTTGTTTGAATCGAAGGCTACAGAAGGAAGAACAAGACTCCCAGCACTCAGGAAACAGAACTGCACACATCTGTGTGTGGAGATATCTTTCCTAACATCCAGTTGGTTGATGGTGTGTAAAAGCATCAACCGAGTAACACGATACCAACAGTCATTTTTAAAAAAAGTGTTTAAATGTAAGGTAGTGTGTGCCATGTTCTTGGGAAGCTTTTTTGCCACAAAATGTTTACCTGTATGGTGGCGCCGTGGTTAGCGCTGTCGCTGCAGCAACAAGGAGGTTCTGGGTTTGAGCCCCAGCTGACCCGGTGCCTTTCTGTGTGGAGTTTGTATGTTTCTCCCTCTGCCTGCGTGGGTTCACTCCAGCTTCCTCCCACAGTCCAAAGACACGCAGCTTAGGTTGACTGGTAACTCTGGATTGCCCATAGGAGTGAGTGTGTGTGGTTGTTTGTCTACATGTCAGCCCTGTGATAGTCTGGTGACCTCTTTGGGGTGGACTCTGCCTCTCACCCAGTGTCAGCTGGGATTGGCTCCAGCCCCCCGTGACCCTCTTCGGGATAAATAGTATAGATAATGGGTGGATATTTATTTTGTAATATACTAGGGGTGATATGAGGTATTCTGATACAAATGTGAAAATGTAATTATTGTTAATTGTCCTGAAATTGCACATTGGTGCACCTCAAATAGATAAAAGTGGAACTCGTCTACTTAAAAATACAGTATGTAATTAATAATTCCTAAAATTCATGGAAAGATAAGAAAATGATAATGGGATAAAACTCCCATTTTGTGTTGGAAATTAAATGTGTTCAACAGTTTTAAACAGTATCTACGAGTCATGGCCAAAAATATTGGCACCCTTGCATTTCTGTCGGATAAGGCACCACTTCTCCCAGAAAGTAGTTGCAGTCACAAATTCTTTGTTATTCTTTCTTTGGTTTGCACTGGAACAACACAAAAAAGCATTTGTTGCATTACATTTCTGTGTCAGCAGTGGTACCCCCCTGGGTCTCCTACCATAGTATCCCTTGTTATTCAGATGGTGACAGATAGTGCGAGCTGACACTGTTGCACCATCAGACAACCCTTCATTACAATCTGTCATCTATTTTTCTCTTTTGTCCACATCCAGGGAGATTAGCTACAGCGCCATGGGCTGTAAACTTGACAATGTTGTACACAGTGGACACAGGAACAGCCAGATCTCTGGAGATGGACTTGGAGCCTTGACATTGTTCAGGCTTTTCCACTATTGTGATTCTCAGACCCTCAGACAATTCTTTGCTCTTCCTTTTCTCCATGCTCAGTGTGGTCCACATGACACAAAGGTTGAGTCACCTTAATTCCATTTCAACTGACTGTAAGTGTGATTTCTATGTTGCCAGCACCTGTTGCTTGCTACAGGTGTTTCATTACAAATTAAAGGAGCATCACAGGCTTGAAGTTCAACTATTTTTTTGATGATTTTGAAAATGTGCCTAATTCTGTCCAGTCCATTTTTAGAGTTCTGTGTGAAATGTGTCAGATTTGGCTTTTTTCTCTGCTTTATCTGGCTATAAACAACCCCTGGAGCATCCCCTTCCCATGCTAGTGGTCTCAGTGGTGGCCCTGCGTCCCAAAATCCTTGGTGCCACAGCAAAAAAAAAAAAAAAAAAAAAAAAAAAAATCAGTCCAACCAAATACTAGAGTGACTTTCCTGGGACGCCTGTAAAACAACGCTGTGTCATATTCACAGGTACAGTTAAGACCAATTCACCCAGAGGGTGTTTTTAGGGTTCACCACAGAGGATTACTGCAACCTGCATAAGTGATTTGACACAGGTTTTATATCAGGTGGCTTCACTTTCTTTTTTAGAGGCAACAGCAAACCTTTGTGAGCGTGTGTTCACACTTGACACATTGAAAATAATGTAACACAAAGTGCTGACAACCTACTTGATTGTATTTACACAAACAAAATAATCCATTATTCCAACAAGCAGATTTACTAGTTCCCTGGTTGCCACTGCTGAAGACAACCCTTTTGACTTTGGAAACATGGACTGATGGACCACACCAGTCCAGGTTTTCACGCAGCAAGGTGAACCACAGAACTGGTAAAGCTGCTTAAGGGAACAGGGTCCTGGTGAGGCTGTGTTCTCTGTGGAGTGTTGGATGAAGGTGGATTTGCATGTCTGCAGTAACAACCACATGCTCTTTACCTCAGACTCTGAGACTCATAAAGGTGATGTAATGGAAATAAGAATACTCACGCTGTCTATTTGTACTGCTTGTTTCTTTTTCAGTCTTCCAGACATTCCACACAGGTTGTCTCTACACACACAACCAGTCCACCCAGTTTTAGCTGCCACACACAAACACACAGCCAGTCTGAAAGATGCCTATGAAGGCCACATACCTAAGACACGTTTTGGATTGGTTCCAGCCAGTGGGGTGACAGCTGACCAGTGCTACACAAAACCTGTTGCATCTTTTCTTTTGTTACTCACGCTGCATGACCTCTTCATCAAGATATTTGTGCTTATGCTATTTGTCTGATTGCTTTAAAAAAAAAGCACACAGAGACAACTTGGAAGTCTCTTTACTGATTTCCACAACAGGTGGCTTATAAATACTTGAGGTATGAGCTCATGCTGACAGGGTTCAGAGAGCACATGAAGCAACAACAGTTACATGAAATCATAGTTTGGTACACTGAACATAGTGCTACTTGTGAACACTACTTTACAATTTGAACTTGTGTGCATGTACAGCAGCAAATCCCACAACTAACAACTAAATCCGACAACACAAAAAAATATTTGCAAGCATTAAAATATTTACAGTAATACACATTATGGTACCTTAAGCAGATTCAACTCAGCAAACCATTTAAGGCCATGTCACTGATTACAGCACATAAACAGTGAAACAGATGTTCTATTTCAGTAGAGTCATTTATCTTTAGGTTAAGGTTTGGTTAAATTCACCAAAATATACAGCAGTGACACTAGTTAGGTGAGGGGAAAATGTAAATAAAGTTTCTGCCTGTTATTAGGAATTTTCACAATCCTAGTATGACCCTTCTAAAAATATGAAGAAATATACCGTCCCCTGTAGCATAAATGTTTTATTTATAACACAAACATACATGACAAAGCTTGGTCATGTGTCACTTCCAGCTCCCACCTTGATTTAGAATAAGAAACAAATTCACAGCATAACAGTCTCTTTTAACCTCCACTGAACAATTTTTCATCCACATGCTTAGAAAATTCTAGTAGGACACCGGCACTGGATTTTTCACAGACTGCCGAGGATTTTGCTTTTAGAAAAGTGGATGTCGGTTCTGTAATGTAACGTAACGGTAACATACTAGACAGCTAGATGAAGGTGATGTAATATTAGAAAATGCATCGGTAACTAATTCCTCGTTCAGCTCATTTACCAGTTTCAAATTAAAATACCAAACACTGTCTGGTTGCAGCTTGTCCAGTTTACTGCTGACATCACTCCCACCTGTTTGTGGATTTTTGGACAGTTTGTAAAACTAAATGAGACATTTAGAGACGTCACTTTGGACTTGACACCGGTCATTATTTTCTGGACTACGAGAAAATTTTTTTACAAACATGTTGATCTACACAGAATAAGTAGAATCACTGGCTGCAGCCCTGCTAACAGGTAGGAGCACTGAATTAGCAGTTCTCTACTTGGATTGTGCAAAGAATCAGGAATGTTGTCATGCTGTTATACTCGAATGGGAACAGATGTTTCTTAAACCAATAAGACGCCATTCAGCCATGTAAACACCTGATGATGATGACTCGGACAAATCATCTGTCCTCTTCAGACACCACAGGTGGAAATACATCCATAATGAAACACCTGGACTGGTCATTACTTGTTGTCCAACTTAGCTGCTAATGCACTTGTACAGCATTTACATTTGATCTTGATCATGAAGTTGTTTCCCAGTGTTGAATGACTAACCCAGCCATACTGAAAACTGCATGGCACTATCGCTGGCTGAGCAGGTTTGATCACACTCAAGTCCAGAAACAAACCCATCAGCTGTGTGTTACTCAGTAACACACAGCTGATGACTCAGCACTACAAGCTGAAAGTTTGACTGATTGAATGAGTGAAATTTAATTTTTGCTTTGCTCCTAATGAGACCAGCTCAGTGTCCGTTGGCACCCTCAGACAGGATGCGGCTGGGCTCGGTGAACTTGGCTGTGGCGATGTAGAACAGTGCAGGACCAGGCACAAGCGCCAACAGCGGTAGGTCCTGCTCAAACTTGTCCAGTCGGGAAATTGAGATGATGCCGTACGCATGGAGCAGCCAGTGGCTGAACAGGACAACCAGACGCTTCTTCTTAGCAACCAGGTTTTTAAAGGACTGTAGTGGTGATGGGAGAGCACGCACACGCACACACACACACACAGAGGAAACAGGTTAAAATTCATAATAGTGGGAGATAAACTTCCATTAAACACATCAAATGCTCCATGATTCTGAAATGCTTATTAAACTTTGAAGAGTTTTTGGTGCCAGTGGTACAAAAACAATCTTTACTGCAGCAACACAGAGACAAATACTGCCAGAGAAAGCAACACAGGGGGAAAGAATGACTTCGACAGTGGCTATGTGCAGCAGTTTCACTTAGCTAATGCAACTGTGTTCAAGTTTCTTAAAAGCTCGGGTATTAATACAAGCTAAACTCTCAAAACCGGGGGGGCTGAACACATACAGTATATCTCCGTTCTCCAGACCGTGCTACTTTGGCCATCTCACAGTGCTTTGGGTTAAAACAGGTTATAATGAATATACTTGTGTAATACAATGTAAGAGATGACAGATCTTCATAAGCATTTGCGTGTGCACAGAATGTGCTCACTCAGGTCGACTGATCGTTTCACCGGTGAAGACGTCTCATTCTGGTCGAGTTGTCGGAACTACAAACTCTCAGTTCACTCCGATTACTCAGTGGCGTCACAGAGTGATGCCTGTTTACCTCAAATGATCTTCGGCCAACAGCAGACAGCGGGTTGTCTGTGTCCACCGAGTGCAGCCAAGCAGCCACTTTCACTTTGTCCTGTCATTAATTTAAGTAACAGAGTTAACTTTAGTTAGCGATAGTTGGTACAACCCCACTGTTTGTTAACCAGAAACTGCTAGCTGAATGATTTCCACACAGAGCTTTGCCAACAAGACTGTAGGCATCACTAGCACCATTGTGCGGTGGGGGGACGATGACCTCAAATGTTAATACTTAAATTGAACAAATATCCAAATAGTTGAATATTCGGCTCCAGCCCTAGTTAATCTCTAACCAAAGACACACAGTGCAGTGAATGTCCTTACCTGGATCTCAGAGGCAGACATGTAAACAGCCAGCGTGACCAGAGACAGGACCAGTATGATGTAGGTATATGCATAATCTGAAACACACAAGCAGTTACTCACAGCTGCACACATCTTCGTATGTAGTTCAGCAGTATTATTTTAACCAAAAGGCCTATTAGCTGTGTAACTCATTTGCACTCAGCCCACAGCTTCTCCTTCTGCTGCCACTCATTGCTACTCACACAGCAGTCCTCCTCCCACAGCCTGCAGCACAGTGAGGATGGGGAAGAAGTACAGAGCAGCATAGATGCTCTTGAAGCGGTCAGATTTGCCCAGACCACAAGCTATTTTCTTCACCAACAGAGGGCGCAGTAGCATCATGAGTACCAAGCAGAACGCATAGTAGATTAACACAATGGTGTAGCTGGGGAAGACAAAAAAAAAAGCAATAAGGACAAATACACAGCAAATCACAAGTGCACATGATGGACTCAAAATCATCAGAAACGGTCACATCTGTGGTAGACATAAGTTTCTGTTTAAGAGTACACCACCACTATTTCAGTGTATTTAAATGTTGACAGTAAAAGTTAAATGACATAATACAAGACAAAGGCGTCACATTATTTTAAGGAAAGCTAATGAAATGTTAAAAATAATATAACGGCCCACAGTCCCTCACATACTGTTATGTTCAGACTACATGCTGAGTCAAATCCAATTTATTTCCCTCCAGTTGACTTGAATCTAATCGTTTCATGGCTGTACGGACAAACCAAATCAATGTCTCCCTCCTCTGCACGTATCGCACGTCATTATCATTCAGAATCGGCTTTCACAGATCGGTAAAAACAACTCTGAGCGGAGCAACAGCGGCAGGTGTCGGCAGAGAGGCCAGGACGTCGCGCATCGGGTGGACATTTATGGAGAAGTTTCTGATCACACTGAGCTGGAAGGAACACACTGTAACTGAGGAAATTGTCTAATTTGACCATCGCACAAATGACGCTGTTATTATTCTGTGCATGTGGTTCACATTCTGTTTAGTCTGTGCATGTATGGCTGTTTAGAAGCTCAGTGATGTTCAGACCAAAGATGGATACATGTAACGTACAAACATGAATGTGAGCCGTGAACAGAAAAAGATCAGAATGTAATGTGAATGTAGTATTTGGCGTTCGCACTGCCAGGAACACACTAATTACACTAACTGTAGAATAAACTCGGGCAGGTTTTCCAGACCTCCTGCTGTCAGTACTTACAGTGGGTAGACAGCCTCCTGGGTGCAGTGTAATGTGTTGACGTAGTCCGGGCTGGGGTTGTACAGCATGGTGTACCAGTCCGACAGCATCTGGACTCGACAGGAGCGGATACTGAACATCCCCACGGGCTCCGTGACCAGCAGCGTGACCACAGCTGAAACACTGCACTCCAACATGGCTGTGATGTGCTGCAGCAGAGCACTGGAGCTGAACACACAACATCAGAACCACACAACTGGATTTTCAGATATCAACACATATCAAAGACACAATACTACAGCTAAAACAGTGCCACAAACTAGGCAACTAGGTGTTGGCAGCATGTCATACAGCAGAAGGACACAAGCAGAGATCCCTCACTGAGCTCCTGTTAGCTCAGCCTGTAGTTATCTCATCGTGTCATGTCAATGTGAACTTTGTGTTGCAAGTGCTGAAAATAGCTGTACAAGATGCAACATGAGTGACGTTAAACAACTTAGAGAGTGTGTTTATGGCCAAGACTGGTCCTGAAATGTGGAAAAAGCCAGAGGTACTATTCAGGAAGGCATAAAAGAGGAACATATATACATATACAGGTGCTGGTCATATAATTAGAATATCATCAAAAAGTTGATTTATTTCACTAATTCCATTCAAAAAGTGAAACTTGTATATTATGTCCATTCATTACACACAGACTGATATATTTCAAATGTTTATTTCTTTTAATTTTGATGATTATAACTGACAACTAACGAAAACCCCAAATTCGGTATCTCAGAAAATTTGAATATTGTGAAAAGGTTCAATATTGAAGACACCTGGTGCCACACTCTAATCAGCTATTTGACTCAAAACACCTGCAAAGGCCTTTAAATGGTCTCTGTCTAGTTCTGTAGGCTACACAATCATGGGGAAGACTGCTGACCTGACAGTTGTCCAAAAGATGACCATTGACACCTTGCACAAGGAGGGCAAGACACAAAAGGTCATTGCAGAAGAGGCTGGCTGTTCACAGAGCTCTGTGTCCAAGCACATTAATAGAGAGGTGAAGGGAAGGAAAAGATGTGGTAGAAAAAAGTGTACAAGCAAAAGGGATAACAGCACCCTGGAGAATGTTTTCATTAATCTATCTATCTATCTATCTAGATATATCTAGATATATATATATATATACATATCACGGTGAGAGCAGGGGCCGTGCACAGACCTGTCACGGATCGGTCCTACCAGCCAGCCAGCAATGTAAGATGGCAGCATCTGTAACCACCGGCAGCTCTCAAATGTACTATGACCTCTTACAGTATACAGCTGAAGTGAGTACATCCCTGTGCAGTATCACTTAAATGTCAAATGATTCTAATAATCACTTCATCTCTGAGCTGTCCTCTTATGAGCAATCAACACCAAGTCCTATATAGAAAATACAAGTTCCCAAGTATAAGTTCAGTGCAGCAGAAGTGAATACACCTGTGATCACTGACACACAACTGGGTGTACATCTCCATTAGTTGCATCAACATGCTTAAATGATCTGTGAATTTTTACTATGTTTCAGCATTCTTTTTCTTGTTCTCTCATTTTCCTTCCTCGCTGCCTCATTGGAGCACACTGCACATACACATTGTACTGGAGTCCAATTCCTCGTGTTTTCAACACACCTGACCAACAAAGCTAATTCTGATGTTTGTGAAGAACCTGGCCAGGACGACTGCTGCTACATAGTCTCAACAGTGAAGCCTGGTGAAGGTGTACCTTCTGGGGGGCCTGTAAATCTAAACTGTTTTTAATTTTACAGAAGACCAAATACTCTACTGTACTATACTAACTTGGAAGTAATGCAGTTTTCAAATCACTATTGCAGAAGAATGTACTCACCTTGGTTGTATACTGTATTTTACCCTGTTGAGGCTAATTTTGTGAAAACAGAGAAAGACAGAGAGGGTGTGTGTGTGTGTGTGTGTGTGTGTGTGTGTGTGTGTGTGTGTGTGTGTGTGTGTGTGTGTGTGTGTGTGTGTGTGTGTGTGTGTGTGTGTGTGTGTGTAAGGCAAGACAATATAATGCAATCTGGGAAGTCCAGTTGATGGAACAAATTTACACTTATGAGTTATTAGAGTTAACATTTTTAGCCTCATAACGCTGCATCACTTTGACAGAACCCCAGGTACTGGCCCCCACAGTGTAACACAGCTCAGCCATTGAAACAAATGAGGACTGCATTTTTCTCATGCAGGTCAAATGTCTGTGTGAATCCAACCTAAGCCAAAAAATGTCCTCACCTCTTCTTTCCAGAGTACCACTCAATGAAGAACCAGTGTAGCACTAGCGGTAACATGGCCATGAATCCCAGATAGAGCCAGTCGTAGAGCTCAGGGGACTCAGTACAGCGCTCACACACCTTCTGGAGGTTGGCCCGCTCTCCACGAGGACAAACCTGGCAAGCCAGACAGAGAAATTATCCAAAAAACTACCACTGCAAGGTCAGCAACCACACTTCAAATTCTCCCCCTTCCCTTTTTTGTTTCCCTAATGGAAACCAGAATTTAACTTATACCATTACAACACATTTCACTGTGAGAACAGTGATTCAGAATTCATTATTAGGTACACAAATAAATGCAATCCACTACAAATTCCTGCCATTAAATCCACTTTGATGAAGCTTATTTTTTGCTCACGCTGATGGAAAGCCGATAGTTCTAACTGAGGTTGTAGTGGTGGTGTTGCTGCATCAACATTACAGGCTTTTAGGTTTCTTTCAAACTAGCTACAGTGAGCTACAGAACCTTAAATCTTAATGTAGCCCACATACTGTGGCACCCGGATAACCATCTAGAAAGGGTTTTATTGCGTGATGGCACAGTCCCACCCCTACCCGCCAGCAGTCAAACAGAAACCTGATGTTTAGCACTCACCCCACAGTCTCCGTCCATTGATCCGTTGACCATCATTCTGCCACAGTACAGGCCTGGACACGTTGAGCTCATGGCCACTGCTGCAACATTACACAAACAGCCCATACAGCAGTCAAAACAGTTTGGCAGCCGAGGAACACTTTAACATTAGCTTAACAGCTAGCCCCATCGCGTGGCTCTCATGTATTGCATACACTCGAGTGTGTGCAATAACAATGTTACACGACAGTCACAAACCGGGGCTAGCTTAACACCGAGACTATCACTAGCCAGGTGCAAAGAAAACAGAACACATTTCCGATGCTGTCACACAATGTTACATTCACTGGTTGCTGTTTAAGCTACTACAAACGCAGTCGTCTGATGTCCTAAGTAGTACAGCGGGATGTTGTTTAACGTTAGCTAGTTCACAGCTGACTAAAAAAACCACACGTGTGCGGCGGACAAACCATGTTTACGAGCCAATTATCATAAGTTGAAAAGAAAATACTTACTCACTTATTTTAACTTACCCATTTTCCAATGATTAAAAACAAGGGTTTTCACCTCAGTGCTATAATATTTTCATTTGACAACAAACGTCTTTTTTTTCCTGCTTCTTCTTCTTCGTCGTCTTTTTCTTCTTCTCCTGTGGTTTATTGACGGTTGCCAAAACAAATTAGCGCACTACCGCCACCAAATGGTAAGGAGTGTGGGTCAAGAGTCTAGTTTTAACAGAGGAAATATGAATGAATTGCGTTGCATATACTAACATAATTTGAGTAAATCCAAAGACCTGGTGAGTCCTTTTTTAGTGCATGTTGGCCTTCTGAAAAGTGTGTTAATGTATCGTATTATGTCCTCAGTACTTTATTGAGTCATCTGCTTCTGTTTTACTATGTATAGGTATCTCAGCTGCGACACGACCTGTCTGTGAAAGATGAGCTGTTACAATTCTATACCATTGCTGCAGAGGAAAGTGAGGGGGTGTCTAACACCTCCACACCGTGAGTATGCTATTCTCTCACCTTTACTCACCTCTCCTCCTCGCTCCTTCTTGAAAAATATTGTGCAGTGCACTTACTGTTTTGTAAGTGATGATGCACTGGCTGACTGACTCATTCTCTCTCACGTGTGTGTGTGTGTGTGTGTGTGTGTGTGTGTTTACAGTGTGCGTCCCACTGAAACCAGTGCATCAACTCCAACGTTTTTCCCCCTGGACTGCTTACAGAAGAAACTCAAAGATCTGGAGGAAGAAAACAAGTCATTGCGATCTGAGGTGCACATTCTGTAGATGACGTCTTGCACACCCACATGCACAATATTTTTATAAGTGGTAATACAGTTCAGCTAACATAGTGTATTCTGCTTTGTTTTCTAATGAAATCTATATTACTGCATGCATTATTCATCCCAGTACAATGACATGTATGCTAAACATTGTTTGTAAAACGATAAAACTCATGTAATAAACAATCTCAAAGGTCAAAGCCCAGCACAGACGCTTCTGACGTTGATTTTAGTTCAGGAGTGGCTTGACACATGGAATTCTACAGCTTTTGCCCATGTCATGCAGACGTCTGTATGTGGTGGT